AAAACAACAACAACAAAAAACACCCCCAAACAAACAAATCAAAATAAGGCAGGCATAGCCCTACTRACAGGTCTTCACACAAGCACTAGATCCTGTGGTTGGGTGAGTACTGTATTATAAATATCCTGAGTTCTATACATTAATACGTTTCAGGGATATCTACTTTGCAAAAGCTTACTGGTTAAGTGGGGTTGTGCGTAAAGAAAAAAAAAAAGATGAAAAAAGAAAGGGAGAATAGCTTGAAAAAGAAAGCTGTTTCTCTCTCAAGAATTCAAAGTTAACTAAAAAAAAAAAAAAAACAGGAAGACATCTAAGAGGCCAAGCAATCCACAGAACCGTGGCAGGTATAAGAAATAACCATAGGTGGGAGAAACATGTCATGTAAGCAAAGCAGCACATGACAACAGATCTGCTTTAAATACTATTGGTCTGYTGAAAAATCCTTCCTGTCTAAATGCTTTGCTCTACTTTTAAAACAAATTATTCTTCGCTCTTATCATTAGTTTTGTCATTATTTTCATAGAGAAGAAAGACTGGGGGCAGAATTTGGATGGATGTGTGGGATATGCATGGTTGATTCATAAATTGCTGCCAGTAACAGTGAAAGAATGTGAAACTCCAWACAGAGTAGGTCAAGATATGAGGCTGATGGTCCAAGAGCACTCACACYATCCAAGAGGACAGGTACAGTTTGCTCTGGCAATGTACACTGAACTAAGCCAAGATAAACACAACAGTAGCAAAACCAGTTCCTGGTGTATTATCTCCCCAGAAATTAAGAAGTTTCAGGCAGAAGCTCCAGCTTCTTTTTGAAGGTGCTTCTTCCACTTCGCCATATCCTCCTCAGGACACCAGTAAGGATATTTTTTGTTATTGTCTGTTTTGCTTTTAAAAGTAAAATATYTCTCACAAGTTTGGTTGCAGCTCATCAAATAGCTAAAAAGGGTTTTGGACGGGAGACACAAGAGGAAGTGAAGAGGGGCAACAGTGGCATAGTTAATTACACAGKTAATTTCCTTAAAATTAGGTGATTAAAAACACGGGGGGGAAAAAAAAAMCCCATCAACAGAAAACACACACTCTGAGCTGGCTCAAAGCATATTACAGGTTTAAGGAAAAATTTAATTTTGCATATATGAATGATAGACCTTTGCCATGGGAAAAAAAAAAGGAGATAATGGAAAAAGATGGGGTAAGGGAAAGAGGAAAAGGTCCCTCCAGAGCARCTCTGACATCACTGGAAGAGAATAGAGAGCGTAAATCTGAGAAAGGGTGAAAGTGGACTTCAGTTGCTAGTACCCATCACATCTCAGACTCACCCAGCAGAGTCACTTTCTGGTGTGACAACAGAACTCAAATCAGGAAACATGATTGTGCATTTGTTTCCCCATTTCTGGCCAGTCATAGTTTATGCCTACCCAGTCATAGTTTATGCCTAGTTTATTTATGTAGGATGCCTCCCTACATAAAAAAAAAAAAGGGCACTAAACAAAAAGTAAGTATATAAGTTGTTTTACCTACTGCATCTTGGGGATACTGAGGGCTGCTTTCTGGTATGCTGTATCTAAAACTTCAAAAAGCATAATACACAAAAGAGCAATAGAGACTGAGCACACTTCCCGTAACAAGCCATCAAAAGAAAATATCAAGAGTCTAAACCAACTGACTATGCTGTGAACTGCTCAATTTTTCTCAATTATAAAATTTCATCRTGCACAATATCCTTAGAAAGTATGGGAGGCAACTGCATTGCATAAATAKTTCTTGGAAGCCATGTTTGAGCAGAACTGATGCAAAGCACGTGTTTTCACCTTGCTCCACAGCTTACAGAATAAAAAAGTTCATTAATTTAAATATTTTTTGACTTAAAAACACAAGGATTATCCTTGGAAATTGATTCTGCACCAACAAAAGTGGTAAAACCAACCCTCAAATCCTTTCAGGAAAACAAATAGATTTAAAAAGGAAGGGGAAAGCAATACCAAAATAACTCTGACGGGAAGGGGAGAAGATCATTGGAYACCCATCAACAGCTCTGTCACTAATTTCAGTCACATGAATCACCAAGTATACCATTCACAGGGACATGTATATACTGCATTTAAAGTATCTCCTTGGGTTCACAGCTTGTACCTGTTAAAGATTCCAGAAGTGAGATTGTTTTGGTGTGGTTTTTTTGTAGTTTTTCCTCCTCCCTTCACCTAAAACTTCTGAGTCAGAATCAAAGCTCTGACCTTTGAGACCATTCAACTAATGTATAACAGGATATATTGGTTTCCTGCTTGCTCTTAGAGACCGAAGGCTTTGAGCATCTAGCCAAATCTGAAGTTTATATTTTTAGTAACAAGCTGGTTGAACCTTTCAAAGATCTGAGGGAACAGAGGGAAGACTGTTGCACTGCAGCACTTGGTTCGGATTTTATCAAGATTCCCACTTTTTCACTACTTATGTCTTAAAGCAGTAAGTAACAGGAAAGATGCTCATGTTTAGGTATTAAATTGATCTTATAATATTTTTATGCATGAGACAAGCTTCATTCCTGTCCAATAGGCTTTACACTGATCTAATGCTGTTTCAGTGATCTTAACTGTAATACACAACAACTTAATTTAAAATAAACTCAGTCCTTTAGCAAATCTGAGTGTAAATGGTATATTACTCTTATGACCTGAGGCACAACTTGGCTACAAAACTTCAGTTAGTCCTTATCAGTAAAAATAAATAGGTGAAAGGTTTGATTTATTTAAATTTAGTTCATGAAAAGTCAACTTTTTTTAGGAACATGCCTCAAGGCAGCCTATAAGCTTCCTACAATGTAGAAAACATAGCTATGAAAACTAAGCAGTTACAACTTGGCCACATTGTATGATTACCTACTAAACTAAGAAATAAGTGATTTACTCACCAAATATTATAGTACAATTACTCAAATGAAGAAGCCATACAAGATTTGCTAAAAATTTTGTTTTAGTCTATCTASTCATTTACTAGGTGATAGTGGTTCTTTGCAGCAGGGCTTGCACGGGTAAAGCTTCGCACTTTTCAGCTACAAACAGCTCCTCTGCTAAAGGCAGTGTTGTTAAGCTCCTGCAATGTTATGAATTTGATAAATACTGCGGCAAAATAATCAAACAGCCTGTAAACAGGGCAACAAAGCAAAGTGCCTCCCTACCACACAATCCAGCTGAAGTGGGCAAAGCAGCAACAAACAGCAACAACCTGATGTATGCAGATTTTCTCCTCCCCTCCATAGACCAGACAGTTTATAGCCTTGGATCCAGAACCTCCACCAAAACCCCCATGTACCTACACCCCGACTTGAAACGTATGGACGAAAGTCACAGGCTCTGAGAACTTGAAAACAGCCAGGGAAGGCCGAATTAAAGCTCTCTAAAAACAGCACTTACTGTCTTTTACCTCCAGTGAAGTTCACAGGACCCCACAGGGCTGCATTACAGGCAATATTTAATTACTGTTGTGYAGAAAGAACTCAAGTGCAGGTTATGGCATAAGCCGCCCACTCAGTCTGAAAAGTAATTAGGGCGGATGTTCATTAGGAAGTTCCTAACGACTCTGTTAACTTCGCTAACCTATTCCAGTAAACTTTCTTACAGGCACATAAGGCAATCTACAAGAGAGCACTCGAGGAGACGCAGTAAGAAATAGGKAAGAGAGCGGGGGAAGGGAATTAATAAAGAAGGCAAAAAGAAAGCTGACATACGATTTGACTTATTTTGTGAAGTTACGAGCGCTCCTGTCCTTCAGAGCGACGCCCAGCTCAGAAGCAGGCGGGGTCCGCCAGGGTCGCCTCGCAGCGCCCCGCCAGCTCAAGGCGCATCTGCACGCCCGAGTCCCTRCAGCCGCGCTCAGTCAGGGCGAGGTCCCCATCCCACCTCCCCACCCCAAGTCTGCCTCCCTGGGCTGCCAAGAGACSGAGCTCACGACGCTCCGCCAGGAAAAAGCAGATCGTGAGGGACGGAGAGAGGATCCCCAGACCTAAACCGCCCTCGGGGGACGCAACCAGTCCACCTGCCCCGGGCCAGCCACCGAGCCTCCCACCTTCCGAAAGTAGCCGTCCCCCGCCGGCTCCGCCGCTTGGCATCCGTGGGGCAGCAGTGCATCTGTCATCTCCCGGCGTCCTTCCGCTGCCGCTACGAGACGAACCCTTCCCTGTGAAACCGCGACCCTGCGGAAATGCCGCCACCGCCCCACGGCACCGCCCCGCCCCACCTCCGCTGCTGGTGGGGAGGAGCTGCCCCGCCCCATTGCGCTGCTCCACCGCCCAGTGGTACTGTCGAGGTCCTGGCAACGACCCTGTGCCTCCTCATTTAGAAGCCCCGGCGGGACGGCTGCGATTCCCCGCGTGTGGAGAGCGGCGGTGGCTGTGGCTGAGGCAGAGCGGAGCTCGGTGTCCCCCGCTGCGCGGTGGCGCTCAACTCGCTCGTCCTCGGCCTCCMGCCGTCCTCCGCTGGAGGGTAGAGTCCTAGCTGGCCGACCCGAAGGCGCCGCTCGCCTCCTGGCGCTTTCTCGCGGCCTCCCGCGCCGCCGAGCCTGGCGACAGCCCCTGGGGGTGGCCACCGTGGGGCCGCCACCAGTTTTCCACAGGGTCTCCTCGTTGAGACGAGKTTCCCCGCGGGTGGCTGCCCCTCAGAGCCGGCTCGCTCCTGCGCCAGCGGTGCTCCCAACCTCGGCAGTGCCCCCGCAGCGAGGATGCCCGGGGTGGTGCCCAGAGCCCACATGGCCCTGCAGCSACCGTCTTTGCGTATCGGCTTGCCGGCACAGTTGGCAGAATTGGTTTCCCTCTAGGCCCTTTGGGGGGCTTCGGCCGCTGGCACCCCGGTAATGTGTAAGGGCCGAAGCCTGGGAGAGGTCCCGAAGCCCGAGAGCGGCTGCTCCAGCCTGGGCCCCTAAAAAGGACAGCGGTATCTCAGTAAAAGGCAGCGCTGGCCCTGCAGGAAACTGCTGTGGGACCAATGTCAGCATTGCGAAGGTCTGCAGTTGTTCGTGCTGCAGCGAGACCACCTGAGACACTCCGTCGTGTAACCGGTTTCACAAATGTTACTGGACACTTGTGTGAGCAATGGGCCAATGTTGGTTCCTATTCCAAGCCATAACTAACCTACAAAGCACATTTAGCATTGAAAGATGCAATACTTAAATCAGCATTACCAAACTTAAACTTCCTCCCCACCTCCCCTGGCCTTTATTCTCTTTTGTTATCTTTCACTGAATTACTGGTGTAGTTGTGTCAGGCAAAAAATTTGGAGAAAGAACATTTCTTTATTAAAAGAAAAGAAATTCTTGGAATTATATCCCTAACAGAAACAATTCTTTGAAAATACTGGGGTCTCCAAAGGGTTCTACAGGGCAGGCTGGTTAAATTGTGTGTCAACTGCATGTTTTTAAGGAAGAATACTAGAGTCAGCAACTCAGAAATTGGTATCCAAAGATTTGCTGTCTGGAAATCAGCTRAATTTTGTTTGTTGTGATTTTGCACACACTCACTTCACTATTCCCCCTCCCCCCAATAATTCTAAAGATACTGGATGAATGTATCAAAGTATGTATTAAATATAAATAGGTGCAAGTAGGAAACTTGCTCCCATTTCTGACTAAAAATGTTTTAAATTTTATGCTATTAGAAAAAGTACTTATCTGACAAAAAAGATTTTAAAATTGGAATATTTCAAATCAATATRAAACTCAAATGCAATACATAGAAACTAGTTTAAGACAAATGAGTAATTTGCCAGCACAGGCTGTGCTGATACAATCKGGCAGTTAAAACAACATTAATGTGACCATCTTATGAATTTGCACTGTTGTCACTGGCTTTATTGAAAACTGATCTCATTGAAAAGCTCCAGCTATTACTCCAAATAAAGTCCTAAGAGCCTGCAGTAAGCTAAAGGCTCAGTTAACGACAATGATGATTGTCATGGTTATGTGTAAAACAAAAATTTRCAGAAGTTTCTGCACAATAAAACACCAAAGAAAATTTCTATCATATGCCAGTGACAAAATGCAGCCTTTAATTCGTTGCTGGTAGATTYTTTGAATAAAGTGAAGTCAGCACGTCTAGTAAGTTTCTACAGTAAAATCACGAGACCAAGATAGTGTGCTTCCTCCCCATTTTTAGTGTCCAGGATATATCACTCATATTAGATGTGCCTTCCCCTCACTCGGATAAAGGGTACTTCATCATGACTGCATTAGGACTGACAGAGTATTCGTTGAGTAAGTCACTGTAGGTTTTGTCTGCATATGGTGAACATGCTTTTTTAGCAAAAGGCACATATTGATTGCATGGTCTCAGTAGTACTCAGCTGCGTAATGACTTGATAGGAGTGCTCTGAGCCTAAAATGTAAATTGCAGCTTAGAAGATTCCAAAACCTGATTTACCCTTAAAAAAAATATGTCCCTGCTCTTGTCATCATCTTGGCCTCGGTGGCTTTTTGGTTGCTATTAGAATTCCTAAGCAGAGTTGGGTTCATACCACAAGCTTTCTCACGATTACTACATGAAACAGAAGGGTAGGTTGCAGCATTGTAAATATTGAGAAATACAGGCTTGTAATATAGATTAATGCATTCAGAAAATGGGTTGCATAGATACAGATGTTTGCTTGACATTTATCTTTCATATTAGAAGAGAATAAATGCTGTGATCTGKTGCACTGGACACACACTATCTGTAAGACAGCATCAAATGCTTAAGAATTTGCATCTAGAGAATATTTTCTTGATGTGATGTGCTAARGCCTGAACAGCAGGCCTAAGGTAGGGTTGACTTAAAAAATGAATCCAGGGCACTATGTGACTAAMACCAGCAGTATTATTTAGCTAAAAATAGATGATCAAGACACTTATGCCAGCTKTTTAACACCAAAAAGGCTGTTGTAGAAACTTTCATATAACCTTGTRWRGTTWTMTGCAAGAAATGTATMATTTTAAGAAGCTTTCCCAWTTGATATTAGCTTGTTTGTAAGGTATTTTARGGAAAACCCTCCCAGTCGAGGTCTGGGCTCTGGCCRAGCCCTGGCCCTGGCTGATCAGGAAGAATGCCACCAGATCCAAGTGTTTCTGTGCTAAAAATATAAWTAAATCACTTTGACTTGCTRATTTGGGCCTAAAAAAACTGGACTCCCTTTCAGGGTGAATTCAGAGACCTCACCTATGGGTGGACACACTGTGTACGATTTTCCCARTTGCCAGGAAGGGTTCTCCAGGTCCTCACTGTGAAACAGGGCTCCTAGGGATCGGGATGATGGTAAAGTATTTAAGCAATCGGTGATGTATCTTTCTCAATCACTATTCTCTTTTTTGTGTAGTAATGATTAGGTGCATTACTTGCTTATTTTTCCTTGTTGTTAAAGCTGAGTGTGTTATTTATTTATTTTTTTTATTAAAGGTATCATTTTACTTTTGTGTTGCCTTAACTATTCATAGTAAAATAGTAAAGGTAAGAGGGATGAAAACTGGGACCAAAATCTGAACAGCCTTATCACACACATATATGATATATATGTACATATTTCTCATATGTTTGTATTACTCCACTTGTTCCATCAATCCTCTCCTTCTTCTATCATATGAAAAAATTATGTGAATATATAAAATCCTATCAGTAGTCTTCCCTTTGGCTAGTCCCAAAATAGTCCCAGTTTAGGAAATTAATTTTCTGCTGGGGTACCTGTGATGCATTGTTCCATACCCAAGACAGGAATCTGGTTKCTCTCTGGAGAGACAATGTTTCTTACCTGTCTTGCAGATCTTACCAGATCTTACAGACCTTTTGGCTACAGGGTGGTAGCAGGAGCCTATAAGACATCTTTTTTTCCGGAGGGACCCAGAGACTTACCAGCAAAAGCACATTAGAATTATACTGTATGAARGGAAAATATGCATCAACTCTTGCTGTTTCTCAAGATAGRTTTTTAAATTCTGAACAGAGTCTGYTCCTTTTGTTGGTGGCTTTGAATATTAAACTTAGATTCTGATTGGAAATACAAAGAGATTTTGTCAGTAGTCCTGACAGCCTGTAGCTTTATGTCAATAAATTCCATTAGAGTCATTCAGTTGAGTTAGTATCATACTTTATTTCTGAAGATTGCAGTTGTTAAAGAGCAAATGTCTGCCTACTGTAGGCAAGCACTAGGTGAGGAGTGAGGAAAGGTGATTATAGGTCGATKTTTTTCTTACAAGATGGAGTAGAAGATTTCCTTACTAAGAAATTTACTGAGCAACAATAAAATGATATGAAAATGGCATACGAACTCAGCAGGGCTTTGGATCACCACAATATGATTTGCTTTAAGTGCAGTGCTCCACTGCTGCCTCTTCACATTAGCAGTATTAACTGCACATATTAACTGCCACAATATCTTCACTGAGAAAAGTAAAAAATAATTTACTATTAAATAACCAATATGCTTTGCCAATTCTACTGTGAAATCACATTGGAAACAAGACATGGCCGTTTATGTCGAAACTAAGACCAAACATGGGCAAAATCATCACCACTTTTCCAACCTAATGCCTTGCCTTTAACTGAGATCCACAGAAAACACATATTGTTCTTAAATACACAGACCTTTATCTCTTTTTCCCCCCAATCCTTTAACAAGTGGAAAGTAGCACTTTGGARAAGCAATGCCTTGGGCTGACCTTGAGGTGACTGTTTTGTCAACTGATACAACAGCCCTGAGTTGGAAGGAGGAATATTCAGGAAAACATTTCCATTGAATGCAAGATAAAGCAGAGATGAGTTTGTCTCTTTTTGTTGTTTGTTTGCAAAAATACGGGATTTTTATACTTGCTATACTTTTGTCCTTTGTTTTTTTTTTCTTTAATGCGATTAAAAACCTTTAAATTAATGAAGTTTTTGCTTTTTTATATATTGATTATACCAATTTTAGTCTGAAGTTCCAGTGACTTGCATGACTTAAAACTAACCAACAAGAATTTATCTATTTGAAGCAGTGGTTTTAAATAATACAGCAAAAGACATAGCAAGACACTTTTATGGCTGTTCTTCATAATGAACCAATATGGAATGAGATGTTGAAAACTATGTATTTGCAAAACAAAAGCCTAAAGTACACCTATGGCTTAAGGGCTCAATTTCAGCCTTACATTCACTGGCAAGTTTGTGAGCTTTCATTCGAAAGTGCAGATTGGTTTGGTTTTTTTTTTTTCACTAAACAAATTTCTGTAAAAAAAAAAAGAAACATAAGCTATTCAGTTCTACTAAATATTTTTGTTTCATTGCCATTAAAAAAAAAGACATTGGAGTTATTGTCTTATGTAATAACAGCTGCAAATTAACAATTGTGATCTGGTTTAATAATTGTAAACGAGAGAGTTTACCATGGAGAAGGAAATACCAGAGGGATGCAAAAGTAATTCTTAYCTGAGAAAAACCTAAATGGGAAAAAAGCTTCAGTATTTGATTACCCCAAATCTTTGAACTCATCAGACAAAACACTCAAAAGATTTTCTGTGAACATTGTGCAAAAAAGGTTTATTTAAGCCTGTGAGTTATGTCAAAGTCACATGGTATCACTACTCAGGAAGAAATATTTACTAAACAAAGAGAAACAGCAAATATGCTAACACCTCATTTTGCCACTGTATGTTCTAAGTGCTTAGTAATGATGAGAAAAGATAATGCACGTAGATAATGTGGCTTCTACTATATTGTTTCTAAGTGAATTAGAGACCCAAATGGAACAGAGTAGTCCCTGTTTCCATGGAACCGTGTAAATATTTGCTATGGAAACCTGAAATCACATGAAGCTCCGGTAGTTTCACTTTGGAAGAAASCAGTTCCATGTATATAAATGAAATTAAGATAAATACTGTGTTAGAGAATATACAGAAACCTTACCTGTTAAGGCAGGAGTATTTGAAGACTATGTTTTGATTTATTTTCAAGGATTTCAGAGAAACTGGTGATACTTACAAAAGTTGTTAATGGATAGCATCTTCAGCGCAAGTTGAAGTGTTTTGTTTTGGTCTTTTTTTTGGGGGGGGGGCGGAGTGTAACACTGGAAATTAAAATCCAGATTTTGAACACTTGGGTCCTACCGGTGAATATTGGTCTTTGTACAATGTACAAAATACAGTCAGTAAAGGTTTCTCTCGCTCCCTTCCAGGCGCAGGGTCCGGGGGTGAGGGATGCGSACCGTTCGCACAGACCGGTCTCGGGGCGGCGGTGCCGGGGGCCGTGCGGGGCCGGCCGCTCCGCCTCCTTCGAGTGACGGTGGCGTGTCCCGTGCGGCCACCGTCGGGTAAGATGGCGGCGGCGGAGAGCAGCGACAGCGAGGAGGAGAACTTAGTGAGCTATGGAAACCCGCTGCAGCCCCTTCAGGAGGGTAAGGGATCCCGGGGGGTTCGTCTGCTCCTCCTCCGTCCCTCCGTCAGTGCGTTGTGGTGAGCGCTGGGGAGCGGCCCGGCGTGAGGCGGCGGGGCCGGGGTTCCGAAGGGCCTTCTGGGTCCGGTCCGGTTCGCGGCTGAAGGCCCTCCAGCCCTTTGGGAATCTCTGGCGCAGCGCAGACCTGGTAATGTCCTCTTCCTCCTGCTGTTGCGGGACGTGGGGCCTGTCGGGGCAGACGTGCTGCTCTGCGAGAGGATCTGGCCCGGCCCAGGGCGAGCCGCCTGACAGCGGAGCGGGGAGAGGCCTTCTCGGCACTGCACCGGATCGCGGGYGTGGCTGGGGTGCCCCGCGGATTGTGGCGGCACTTCTCTGGGTAGAGCTGGGTGCCAGTCTTTGCTTCTATTCTTTCCCCAAGCCTCAAAACAAATCCCCAAAAAACCCACAAAACAAACAACAACAACAACAAAAAAAAAAAAAAAACAAACAACCAAACCAAACAAACAGACCAAAAAAACCAACAAAAACCAAACCACCAAAAAAACCCAAAAAAACCCCCAAAATAACCAAACACCACCAAACAAAAAAAAAAGCACCAAAACTCCAAAAGTAGTGTTCAGGTATAACAGTTCAAATGTACACAATAATGCTAATCTGACTGCCTAATGCTTATGTTGATGAGATGGACAGGGAATCGTTGAAGGAGTAATGTACAGTTGTGACTGCCATGTCTGCCACTTTATTCAAGAAATATTGTTAAAAAGGGGTAAACATTTTATGTTAAAAGTCTATAGCTTTTGTGTTTTGTATCAGTTTTGGACTCTTTCATGTGTAATTTCTCAAGCAATTACTGAAGTGAAAAAATCCTGCCAGAGGTCTTGCATACTGGAGAACTGAAAGCCTCCTTTCACAGGAAAAAAACCCATGTTCTCATAAGACAGTAGAAGTAAGGCTTGTGATGTGAACATTTTGTGCTTTTCCTTTAGCAATGCACGTCAACAATACATACAAATAGTTACAGTGGGCTGGAAATAAATGTAAACTGTTGAAGCTTTCCACTTCGGGGTGGCTGGTGTTTGATCCTGTTCTTACTTGCAAGGAAGAAATAGCTTCTGGAGGTAGTGGGAAGTCCCTTCTTCATGTAAAGTTGTGTCTTTCTGATTTATTTGATTGTAGGTGAACAAATTAAAAAGCCAGTTCCTCTCCAAGAACAGACTGTTAAAGATGCCAAGGGACGATACCAGCGTTTCCATGGAGCATTTACTGGTGGCTTTTCTGCTGGTTACTTTAACACTGTCGGCACAAAGGAAGGTTAGATATTTTGCCATCTTTGGGCAATGGTTAAATTGAGAACCATGTTTTCATGTTAGTGAAAACAAATTAACTGTCATGAAGAATTTCTGTTTCTACTATTCCTTGTGCTGTAAATAGTTGAAACAGTATTGCTGAAGTGACTTTTTGGACTGTAATTTTACAAATTTTCCTTTTATGTATCCTTAAGATGCAAGATTCAAATGTTTGTGTTGTTTTCAAATACTGTGTTGCCTTAAGTACCTTACTTGAATATTTACCTTCTTTAAAGGATGGACACCTTCAGTTTTTGTATCATCACGGCAGAACAGAGCAGACAGAACCATTCTTGGACCAGAAGACTTCATGGATGAAGAGGTAAATTTAGAAAGGAATTGAAAACGTGTGTAGTTGCCATGACAGCGAAAAATTGAAGTAACTTATAAATTACTTTTTGTATACAGTGTTATGGCGCTAGGTCATAAAACTGTTTCACAGGTTCACTTTAGAAGCTCCTGTAATGTCATCAGGAAAAAATTGAACCAGAACTCAACGCTTTCACTATATCAGAAAATGGAAATACTTTTGAAACTGTGTAAGATATCTCTACTGAAGTTATTGAAAAAACAGTTGTATAAGTGGCTTGAGAAGATTAGCCAATATGAAGATCATATGCCATTTTCATTACTTTACTATTACAGTAAGTAAGAATTTGAGGGATATTTAATCTAAATGTTTTCATTTTGTGTCTGTTTCCAGGATCTTAGTGAATTTGGAATAGCACCAAAAGATATTACAACTACAGATGATTTTGCATCTAAAGCTAAAGATAGAATAAAGGAGAAAGCTAGACAGATTGCAGGAGTTGTTGCTCCCATTCCAGGAACCACTACATTTGATGATTTAGTAGGACCATCTAAGTAAGTAAGTTTACATAAAAGTTTGCCAAACAGTTCATTTCACTCAGAACTTTGTATTGCCTAGAAAAGTAATGTTTGACTACAGTAATTGTGAGAGACTGGACAATCAGTGGTACATTTTCTAAGTAGCCTCCACCTGGGTTTTTGATTGGAATGTGCAGATTTGTACCAGGTAAACATTTATAAACTAGAAGGTAGTGTGTATGCAAGTAATAATACGTTCAGATTGAATTTTAAACTGGGATATACAAATAGAAGTTCAAATGTTATATATATATACATTATTTGCCAATAAATAATAAAGGTGTGTTTTGAAGTAATTTTGAGTTTCGTTTCCTTTTGTTTTCTTTTTAGATTAACAGTTGGGGTTGAACTGCTACGAAAAATGGGCTGGAAAGAAGGACAGGGAATTGGACCACGAGTCAAAAGAAAGCCACGCAGACAGAAACCTGGTAAGTTCAGGGAAGTTCCTGAGCTAGTTAATTTTCGTGTTAGTAGAACATTCATAGACTGATTAGAAAGTTGATTTCAAACCATCCTTTTATTAGTGTAATGTGATACTGTTTATGTTGTTTCTTACAGATCCTACAGTAAAAGTATATGGTTGTGCATTACCACCTGGACTGTCTGAGGGTTCTGAGGTATTGAACAGGCAAAAGTTGTTTGTTGATTTATGTAAAAATATGTGATAACAAATAAAAACCAACTCTTTTAATGTCCTTGAACAGTATTTTAAAATGGAGTTTCAAATCTTATTAAAAATGTTTATAAATACTTTCTGTGCTTAATGTGAGRAAAGGTTTTAATATCTAAATTTCTTCTTTTGTTGCTTAAGCAGATGTAGTTCATATACAATTTAGGAAATGCAAACTTGCCTAGGCTCATGTTTACTGAATGTTGTAAAAGCTCATCATACAGAACTTTTAGTCATATTTGTTCTTACAAAGTTTTATTTTGTACAAGGATGAAGAGGATGAATACCAGCCAGAGAATGTGACATTTGCACCAAAAGATGTAATGCCTGTAGATTTGACTCCAAAAGAGAATGTACATGGACTTGGCTATAAGGGTTTGGATCCCTCACAAGCTTTGTTTGGTGTATCTGGAAGAGAACACCTGAATCTTTTCCCAGGTGGCTCTGAAGAAACAAGCAATTTACTTGGTGATCTGAGATACAGTAGAGGAAGAAAACTAGGTATTACAGGTCAGGTAAGGACATTTTTTAATGCATTTTACTATTAGTGCATTAAAATCCAAATTTTGTTTTTTCTTAAATGAAAAGTTCCTAGACCTTGTAGTATTATTGTATGAAATCTTAAGTGTGACTTGAGAATAGGGTTTTTAAAAAACTTGCTTTGAAGATGTGGAAAAATCCTTAGAACTCTCAAATGCCTTTATTTACTAAACTGCAAGACAGCTGTAAAAATTACCTGTCTGAGTAGCTGGATGGAAAAATGTCTTGTGTTACTTTGATTAGAGAAATATTCAATGTGTTTTTAGCTTACGTTTTTTTATATATTGTACTTTCAGTAATGCTGTATCTGTCAGCTAGAAAGGTTTTGTGTTGCTCCACGGTATTTGTAGGTCTTACCTAGAGGCACTGTCAGTTTATATTGTCTGGGAATTCTGCTTGTTTAATTTCCATGTTAACTGACATTTTTTTCCTTTTGAGAACTTAACCTGCTCTTAGTCAGATTGCACATGTTATTTTGGTGAAGCTAGTCTGCTGTCCTTGTCCTGTACAGACCAAACTTACTGTCCCTCCCTCCCAAGGGAGTGGAATGTGTTTGCTTTTGTGCTCACTGAGGTGTGTTGGTTTTTTCCTACTTTAATTTTTGTAGTGAAACTGTACATTTTTCCCAGTGTATATATATATTTGTACTGTAGATTTTATATAGATGAATAAATATACATGTAGATGTGTTCTGATATGCGACAAAAATATTTTTACATTTTGAGTTCTCATTGAAAATACGTGTTTTAGGCTTTTGGTGTAGGAGCTTTAGAGGAAGAAGATGATGATATTTATGCAACTGACACACTGTCAAAATATGATACGGTTCTAAAGGATGAGGAGCCTGGAGATGGCTTGTATGGTTGGACAGCACCAAAACAGTACAAGTCAAAAAAAAGTAAGAAATGTGGTTCTCTTTTAAGAGCTAGTGTAATATTTGGGAAAAAATAATTAGTCTCTATTTGCCATGTATTTTAATTTTCAGCCCTGATATCTGAAAATTGGACTAGTCCTGCCTTCCATATTGAAGTGTTCAGTTATGGAAATAATTTCCAAAGTCCTCCACTAATCGCAGTGTAGATTAAACCCTCAAAGCATATTTTCATAAGGATATGTACTGCTTTGTGAGTTACAGGCATTCAGTTTCACTGAAGAAAACAAGYGATTCTAAGTCACAGTTACAAAATATGACCCAGGCTTGAAAAGAGAACTTTTTGTTAGGTGAACTGTTGTATTTTCAGATAATTTTTGTAAATTTTATCCTGGTACCACTTGTTTTTATTGCACCATTTAAGCGTGTGAAATACTGTAGTAATTTCTGGAGTACCTGTTCGTATTAGTTGTACACTGTAACGACACTGATGGTGTTAGCTGTGCACAGTATGGATACTATAAGCTTGTTCTAAACCTCACTATAAGCCATGTTCAACCTACAGCMATCACTCTGGTAACAATTTTTAGTTGTATAATACTAGTCCATGATCAGAACTCTTAATTTTAAATGAAAGGTGGTGAAGACAACAAACTACAATTATGATTCACAAAAAAAATTGCCTAACATGCATGGTTTAAATATTGACCAACTCTGTGATAATATTGTAGGGCCTGAAAGAGAATTTAAATATAAAGGCAAGATCCTGGATGGTTTTTCCTTGGCATCAAAATCATCAGCTCCAATCGAGGTAAACAGATAGCGGTATTTTGTATTAAGAATAACATCATTCATCATTCATCATGTGAACTGTGTGGACTCTAATGCTTCCTGGAGTTTTTCTGTTCTTAGAAATAAATGTACTGGTCAGCAACAAACAGTGCTGAATGAACAAAATTACAGCATTGGGGGCTGTTCCATAGAAACCTAAAATTTATCAGACTCCTGAAGGTATTTAAACTTTGCCTGTGTACTGGCTTTGAACAAATGCCTTCACTATTCACGGCTACTTGCCATAAAGTTGGAGGAATGATTTAATTTAATTTCAAAATTAAAAAAATTTACATATTTTGGTTCTAGATCTTTCATATGTAACACTCAGTTTTCTGTAAAAATTAGACCTCATGCTTTGTCAACTTTGCTATTTTTGTGTCAATTTAATTTTAGTTCTGTTTTCGTATTTACATAATTCATTCCATATAAATTTGCATAAATTAGAATGATAAACATAATTGTGTGACAGGGTCCTCTTTCTAAGGAAGAACGCTTGTGCGGCATATGAAATTGCATCCTCTAAGGGAGCATAGGGATAGYCTTTGAAGTAATAGCTTGAATGAAGAATGTGGGGAAAAACACTTTGAAAGTCATTACTGAGTACTTCTGTGCTTACTATATTTTAGTCAAATTAATTGATTAAATAATCTGACATCAATTTTTAAAAAATTAATTAATTAAGCAATGTAAGAGGTGTTTTCTCAAATAAATTCAGTGCATCCTAGGACTGTTGTTAATTTTTCTGTCACTTAATGTGCACATTTTCCTATTTTTTTGTCATTGTTACATATTGTCAATAGATTTGTTCCCAGAGTTTGTTCCCAGTGCCACTTACCGACTGGGTCTAAAGGAATTGGTAGCTTGTACTATCCGCTTCTACTGCTAAAATGTAAATTGAGGAATTCTTAGGTTGAGCAGACTTTTTCTGAAACACATTTATAGATGTTGCATACAAAGTTCTCTCTTAGTGGATTTTTTGTTTCGTTGCCCCTTCCCCCCAGGTTTATCCACCACCTAGCCTGCCACGAAATTACAGACCAGTCCATTACTTTCGACCTGTGATAATAGCTGGGAATAAAAACTGCCATTTACAAAAGGCATTGGAGGAATCGACTGGAAAACTTGAGAGTGATCCAGCACAACAAAGCAGGCATGCTTTGAATGCAACTCAGAGGAGGGAACAGCTAGGAGAGACTGAGCTGAAAGGTACTGATATACATGACAGCACCTTTGCTTGTACTTCAGGTCCCCTGTTTCTTTATAGAACAGTAACAATTTGGTCTGGCCTTGAATGTTTATTTTCTAACATAAATATATCAAATCTAGTTACCATAGCTAGAATACCATTTCATTCTTCAGTTTTATCTCAGCAATTGAATTGTTGACATAGCTGTATGTATTTTCATTTACTTAACTATTTTAAAGATAAAAATTATGTGTTGGATTTTGGTTTTTTGTGTTTTGTTGGCCTTTTAGAAATATAAGTAGGGTGCAAGAATTTTTTTCAGTAAAATGAGGTTTCACTGGAAGACATTTAAATACACTAAAAAGATAATTTGTAACTGTGGCTCAGGTTTGTATCTACAATAGTGCACGTTCTAGGTTACATGTAAATATGTGGTAAATAGCACAAAAGAAGTAATGGTGGCCAAATTTTTATCTGCCATGGGTGCTATTTTCTTGTTAGTTTCTGCTTAAGAGCTTTTTATCTGAATCTATATGCATGTGGTAGGCATTTTTCCTCTACTAAAGTGGAAGAAATAGTAATTTTTCATTTCTGTTTATCTTTTACTGTTTTTTTCTGCTTTAGGTTTGGCTCCTTCTGTTTTGGAGTATCTGTGTGAGAGAGATAGAGAAAGACTCAAAGAAATTAAACAAGCATCTGAACAACAGATGAAAGCAAAAACAGTGTGTCAGCAGTCACAAAGTAGCAGATTCCAGCCAGTCTCCCCAGAAGATGCTGGTCACAAGTGGCAAATGCTCCTGGGGGGGCAGTTAGCAAATGCTGGTTCTAGTGACTTCAAACCATTTGCAAAAAATCCAGAAAAACAAAAAAGATATGAAAAATTCGTGAGAAGTCTTAAACAAGGAGAAAAAGGTAAAATATTTCTTGATCAATTCCACCAGCCCCCCACCCCCCACTTTTTTTGTCCCAATGCATTTTATATTCACTATGAATTCTCTTCCTGAATTCCCCAGCATTTCTCCCTTTCCTTCTTTTCAGGACTAGTGTTAACAGAAATTATTACTGATATTTAGTGATGTTGACTTCAGAAAAACTGCTCAGTTATTTAATTATCAGCAAGTTTTGATTTTAGGCATTACATTTCATACTTCTATGATGTAGCACAAACTTAAGTTCTACATCATTACTTGGATTGTACTTTTTGTTTTAATCACCTGTTAAATCTATTAAGTATTTTGAACATTCTTTAAGAGGGCAATGAGTAAGGAATCAGTTTTACAAGTAAAATTATTTAAAATTCCAATTTTTGCATTTGAAAAATGCTGTCATTCTTGCTATTTTGAAAAACTACCTCCATTTATTAAGGATTAACCAGTTGAGGTCAATACTACCCTTACACTAAATATTCATTAAATAGTTGCCAGGATGTTTGCATGTTGCCTTATTTTTTGTTTGAAAAGTGTTGAACTGAAATAAGCTGTAATATCTGCTAAGCATTTCTCTCCTTATCTTRCAGTAGATACATTGGAGCACTTCTTAGACCCAAATATGACAGAATGGGAGCGAGGAAGAGAACAGGAGGAGTTCTTCCGTGCAGCGGTGTTCTACAGATCCTCAAATTCAACRCTGTCATCCAGATTTACCCGGGCCAAATATGAAGATGATGTTGACAAAGTTGAAGTTCCTCGAGACCAAGAGGTATATGCTATTTACAGTCTTTTAATGCATTGGAGCTGCAGTTACTGCCTTAGCACTGACTTTGCTTTTCTTTTAAACTCTTAATTAGCTGTGTCACTATCTTGTTGCCCTTTCGTTTAACAGCTCTTGAGAATACTTGATGCATACAGAGTGGTGATTTGTTAAATAGCATTTAAATATTTATGGATTTCTCCTGTTTTTAAGTCTTACAACAGTTCAGCAAGTTGTTACTTAGCAACTATAAATGTTTGCCTTTTTCAGAATGATATTGATGATAAGGAAACGGCTGTGAAAATGAAGATGTTTGGCAAGCTCACTAGAGACAAGTTTGAATGGCATCCTGATAAGCTTCTGTGTAAAAGATTCAATGTTCGTGATCCATATCCTGAGTAAGATAATTGATACTTACATTTTTAACATTTTTAAAAATTCTGAATGTTTCATTTGCTTGTGGAAAATCTGCTTGATATTTTCTTTTGGTGTAATGTAAGACAGAACTGCCCAATGTTTTTATTTGCATCATGAAACATGGTGGCCTCTGATTAAATAGCATGCATTTGAAGGACTGCTGTATAGGTGCTTCAGCTTGTAGATAATTTGAGGACTTTTCTATGTGGAAAACACTAATCTGAAAACAATTTTTTTTCCCTTTAGTTCTTCTGTAGTGGGTTTGCCAAAAGTGAAACGGGACAAGTATTCTGTTTTTAATTTCTTAACTATGCCTGAGCCCACAACATCTGTAACTCAAGCAACAAATGAAAAAATCCAAGACAGTAACAGTCTCAACAGTAAGTTTGTTGTTGCTTTATTAATTTAGCTATACATGAGATAATAGTACAGAAAAAGCATATTTTTCATTGAGAACCTATCCATGTGATTTTTTCATTTAAAAAACCCAAACAAAGAAATTGAAAATAAAAATTCAGTGACATAAAAACTGAAGTTAGTGAAATAATGCTGATTTTTTCTATCTAGAAGACATTTATAGGTCAAATATTCATTAGAAAGATTTTAAAAATGTCAAACTGAAGAAGCAGGGTAATTTAAAATGAASTAGGCTATGAAATGCAGAACAATTTGGCATGCAGGTGATTTGAATATTTTGGATGTTTTAGAACCAAAGAAACCTTCAAGGTGGGATGTGTCAGATAAAGAGAAGGAGAAGAAAGATGCCATCAGTGAATTCATTAGTCTTGCTAGATCAAAAGCTGACGTTGAGCAGCAGCCACTAGTGCCAGCAACAGAAGAATGTGGAACTGGTGCAAGTGAAACTCTTCCCACTCCGGTGAGTTTACAGCAGTGTTTGAACTTAAAGGGAATAGCTGTAAACCTTGACAACCCAGAAATAAGATGGATTAATATATTAGTACAGATCAGTTTGCACAAGAGGCAATTCAGGATAAGCAAAGGTATGAGATGGCACTTTGAAAAATTTGGAGGTTATAACTCTGGAATTCAAGATGTTTGTAGCTTATAAGGACAGCAGATCTGATTATACTTGAAGTAGAGCTTAAGAGAAGAAAAAATGTAGCTCAGCGTTCTGGGAACTACGTATATAGTCACTTTACCAGCATTTTGCTTACAGGCACAGAATATGTTTATTTCTCCTTTCCATAGAGGAGGGTACATATTTTGGGGAGAACGATGGTGTTTTCATTTTGTTTAAACTTAGTATTATATAACTGAAATTTGAAGTAATGAATTAGAATTTTTAATATTGGGGATCAGTCTGCACAAACTGCATTATTTCCAGGACACTGGCCTAGTTCTGCACTGTTTCAGAGCTTCACTACTTGGGACTAAGATTGTTTATTTCATAGCTGTTGTGCCATTCAAATGTTTTGTAAATACCTGTCAGTGTGGTTGAGATTAGTCTTATTGAAGAGAGATCATTAGTCTCTTTAGTGTTTAGATACAGTTTGTTATGGTGCTATTTTGCAGGTAGCTAATGAAGATAAGAATCAGGAAGAAGAAAGCGAACGACCACCCATGGACTTATTTAAGGCCATCTTTGTGAGCTCCTCGGATGAAAAATCATCTTCCTCTGAAGAAGAAAGTGATGAAGAACAGCAACCAACTACTTCAGAAAGAAAGTCAGAAGCCACCAAGCAAGTTGATGTACCAGACAGTTCTTCCTCTAATGTACAAGGTAGTACTTAATGGATATTCATTTTTATGCAACGTAAGATAAATGCCTTGTAAAAGTTTCATTTTTGAATCACATTCTTGGACAGTTAGGACAATGCTATGCTCCTGTCCAGATCACCTGAGATTGACGGAGCTGTCCATGTACAAAATGTGAATAATACAGCACTGAATAAGATCTTGCAGTGTTATTTGTGTTGCCATGAACCTTTTGTGTAGATTTTACGAGCAAAGTGCCCAATGAAATATGCTTATACAATGAGGGGGGACTGAACATCTAGTGTTAGAACATACTTAAAATGAAAATACTTTGTCCACTTACAGTTGGTTCTATTAACATTTAACTTTTAATGTTTATTAATCTTCTATTCTTGTGGAGTTTTTTATTCATTCTGAGTAATTGACAAATAGTACTGTGTTACAAAATGGAAGCAAACAAATGCACTGTTACTAATTTAACTAATAATTGTATAGTTTAAAAGGCAAATTTTGGTTTAAAAGAAAAAACCCAGAATGTCAGCTACCCAGTTGGCCAAGGCAAACCATAGAGATAGAGGATGCTGATGAGTTTGCTTTCTTAAATGTTTTTATAAAGCTTCTTTGAACTTTCTTCAACGCTTCTTGGGAAAAGTATTTCCTTAGTTGCTGTTCAAATATAGCAGGTTTTGCTTTTTTTTCATAGAGAGTGTGACTGCTACAACTGATTCTGGCATTTCCTCATTGCCTACTTCAAAGCAGGAACTGGATACAAAAGAGGAATTTGGACCAAAGTTGCCACCAGCTTTTTCTGCTAGTAGGTTCTGTAAGCATCTAAATTCTGCACATTGAAGTTGTATATGAAATACATTATACCACTTTAATTAAATACATGATACCTCTTTAACAAAAGCATTTGTGATTAGGCACTCTTACCTCTTAAATGTCTGTGTTATGTCAAATAGGCATCAGCAAACATTTTGTTGCCATKTTGTGACTCTCTTTGCCTGTGTACCAGTGTAAGTCTACAGAGGCATTGATAAAAAATTGATGTAAAAATACAGGACAGCCTTGCAATCTCGTTTTGTAGCAGATTGCAAAGGCATTTAATTACAATAGGGATCTTGCAGTTAGGAGTTTTAGACATGAAATTTCCTTTTTAAGGCTTAGGGGTTTTGTTTGTTTATTATGTTAGGTTCAAAAGTAATACAGAACGTAATAACCAAATTACCCTTCTTTAGTCTTTTTAAAAATCTTTTATGCATTTGCTTTGTACTTCAGGCACTACTTGGCAACAACCAACAGTGGTTCCAGCAAGTTTTCCTGGGCCTAGTAGGAAACAAAAACATAAAAAAACCAGAGAGAGGCACAAGACTAAGAAAGAACACAAACACAAGAAGGAAAAGGTATTCAATTTAAATACTGATTTTAAATTTTTTTTTATTCTTTGATCTGCCTTTCAGAATTTTTTCTTATTTATGCTTGGTTGTAGAAAAAAATGTATATATACTGGGACTAGAATTTAAGCAACAGAATTTCTCTGAACATTTTCTGATATTTTGAAACCAGAAAATTATCCTGCTGTGATGCTCCTTTTTTCATATATACATGTGTGACTACAGGTACAATACTGTGGATAGTTTCATATTTTATGGGGAAGATGTCAGGCACATTCTTGGAATGGCATTCATGGCTTATATACAAATATTAGTCATGAAACTTCTGTTTTAGGGGGAGTTGAGTGCTTGGATTAAATGAATTTCGATTGGTAACTCTTTTTAGCTCAGTCTGAATAGTGGAAAAGAGTCATTGATAAGTGTTGTGTTTCAGTAAAGCTTTCGATCCACACTGAAATAAACGTTTTCTTTTGTTGACATCCAGAAAAATCCAGGTCTTTCTCAAGGAAATAGAGGATTATTTCTCTTCTTTTTACAGAAAAAGAAGCATAAGAAGCAGAAAAATAAAGGAAAACACAAGAATAAAAAATCAGAAAAAGACAGCACATCAGATAGTACAGATAGCAGTGACAGCCTTGGTGATATGGATACTACAGGCTTGTCGCCTAAAGAACTTCTAAGAAGGTAAGCAGAAAGGTTACTTAAACACTTGCAAATTTTACAGTGAATAACTAAAACATCAATTTATGAGTTGTTATTGTAGTGAGCCTTTTGCAGCATGTGTGAATCAGCTAGTTTGTTTATGAAGATAAAATACTGCTCACTTTGGTGAGGAAAGATTACAAGTATTAGACATTTTAATCTAGAGGGTGGCTTTAGGATAGAAGCCTCTTAAGGTAAAGACCACTAAATAGCTCTAGCTGGGCTAATGGACATTATAATTAAAGGTGACTCATATTTTGGAAGGTATTTTAAATCAGAATTAAAAATTGAACAGATGCAGGTGGGGATGCATATTTTCATAAATTCATCTACTATTTTCATTACTTCTCTTTACTTGGGAACATTGGAAGAAATATTGCTGACATTCCATTCATATACATCTGTTGTGTGGCACTGATGCTTAAGCTAGTCTGTGCTTCAGCAAAGGACAGTGAAGCAAGCAGAACAATGTTTGAGTCATGTACATGCCTTCTAAATTTAGCCTGTGCTATTACATTTGTATAAACCAGAGACCTGAAGGTAGTGCTAAAATAAATGTGAAAATTGAAAAAGCATGGTTTACAGTATTTTGCTCGCACTCTTGAAGTAAAGTAGGAACAAACATAACTGTCTCTAGGTCATAGTCATCTGCAAGCATGTCCCATTTGAAGCAGTCACTGTATTGGCTTCTTTAGTGTCTCTTAGCTGAAGGAGAGATCTCAAGGTATTTGTGGAATATCACATCCATCTGATCTAATGGCAAAGTGATTTGGGTCAAAGTGTGAAGTGGAATGGGCATGTACCAATTGGCATTTGAAAGGGCTCTGCCTGCCATTTCTTTGGAACTGAGTGTCAGTTATATATTGGTGTTTTCTTATCAAAAGACAAACTACTACTTGGATTTCTGAATAGCTAAAGTACATTTTAATGCATTTTGTACAAAATAAATTTACTTGTACAAGCAGTTGTTTTGGAATCTTCACATTTGCACGTCTTCCATCACTGAGAAAATGTTTTTAGTACAACTCAGATGTCTCTCTGAACTTTAGGTTTAAGAGACTGCTCAAGTAGTGAAATGTTCTTAATGTGTGACTGTTTAGTGTGAATTTTTCCTTTTTTTCTTCCCTTTTAGATTGAAACAACTTCAGTATTGAAGATGTCTCCTGCTTTGTTCAGTATTGTATGACTTGGTCTCAAAATTTTGATCTCCTCCATGATGGTAGATCAGTGGTGTATAATGTGAAGTGCTGTAGATATAGTATTCATATTGAATTACTTTGAAAGTAAATGTGCATATGTTTATTTTATGATGTTTCATGAGATGAAAATATATGGATTGTAGAACATTGAAAAGACCCCTTTCTGGGCATAATAATCTGAAATACTGCAGGCTCTATTTTAATTACTTAAGCATTTTAATAAACTTTATTATTACAAGTAGGTTTTGTGTATTGATAATTTTTTATGCCTAGGACCTCTAAAACCCTGGAGAGGAAGTTTCAGTCTGAGTTAAGTTAGGAAGTTAAAAACTAAAGCAATGTAAAATTTTTATTGAGGACAAATATTTTTAATTAATCTAATGTCCCATTGCAGTTTTGGAGCATCCAGCTGTTATTTTTGACTCTCCAAACCGTATAATATTTAGTCTGCCAATAACCTTCAATAGAATCACAGAATATGCTGAGTTGGAAGGAACCCATCAGGATCATTAAGTCCTAGTCCTTGCCCTGTKCAGTTCATTTCACACAAATTATTAAAGCTAATGTTCTAAAAGATTAGTACCATGGTTATAATGTGCTTCATTTTTGGGTAGTTATAAGAAAACTTACTGCAACTTTTTGTCCGCAATTGTCATTTTGTACAATGAATTAAATATGAACCATGAAATAATACTGAGCTGCCCAGAGGTGCTGGGGAGCAGCTCTGGGGCCAGCTTGGAGCCCTGTCAGGAGCTGTAGGTTCAGGTGCTCTGGGGAAAGGCAAGCAGGCTGCGCTGTGTTGGGTCATGCCAGGGGAGTTGGGTGCTGCTGGTAGCTCAGGGATGAAAAGCTCTCTGTTGCTTTGTGTGTGGTTAGTGCTTACAGTGTTTGTTAGTTCTGTTCACACAAACACATGCTTGTGAGCAAACTCTCAAATGAGCGGAGAAAAGACTTAAAAATATCTCTGCCAAAATTTGTAACAGTCTTGGCTTAAACATGTGGCCTAGGAGGTTGATCTGCATTTTGATGGACCAGAATCAAGGAAACAAGTGTTTGAAACACTTGAGAGACTTAATAAGATTTAAAGAATACCTTTTTTTGAGAAGAAGAGTTGAAAAAGAAACCAAAACAAACCTCCAGAAAACTAAAAACACAATCCCCATTCATCAACAATTTTCTCAACTAGATCCGGTAAATCTTCTCCAAGGTCATATCAAGGATGTGAACTTTGTGCAGTCGAGTGGAACTTTCGATACATTTTCCTATGGTTCCTGCTTTCAGACTCCCTCTCATGGACTAAACTGTCAAAAATAATCTCTATTCCTAAACAATGCTTTGTTTCTTTACAGATTCCATTTAAAATTCTGGGAGGACACAGTGATACTGTGAACACCCGCCATTTTTGCTTTGAAGACACAAAAATACTTTCATGTTCTTATGCATTGAAGCTCTGCATATGTTATGAATACAGCAACAGCACATTAAAATGTCTTAAAATTTTTAAAGCTGAAATTAAGTAAGGAATGTTATACAGGCATGGAGGTTGAATCATCATGGAGCTTTCTGAACATATTTTACTAAAGTTTAAAAATAGCAGCTGTAAATGTTTCTGCTATCACAATTAATAGGAGAGCACCTATTTCATGCTTAGAACATGTTCTTTGACTTTAAAGGGTGACAACTGTAAGCACATAGTGCACAAACTGAATAAGGTCTCTAGTTTATTAATATTTTAAAATGTGAAAGTTGGTACACAAAGCTTGCTTGTTATCCTTTTTCTGACTTATTTATGCACGTGATTGTGGAGAAGGATAAGTCAGGGGTAGGACAGTTGTTGGCAGCATGGCCATGAGGTTTTCATACTTGTCACTGGCTTTTTCCATTTATTCCAGTCTCAGTTGATGCCCACTCTTTTCTTGCTCCTCTTGAGTTTTGTGTAGGTGTCTGGGTTTCCCTAAAACTCCATTCACCCTGGGAAGAGGAATGGGGAAGATGTATGTATCCCAGGTGATTCAACCGAAATTAAATCTGTTAAAATAGCTTGAAGACACAGAGTTATGTGAACCCATGAGTGCTATGCAAGCAAATGACAATGTATCTGTGCTAAGCAGATTGCAGGCGTTGAGATCTGGCATACATTAAGCAGTCATGACTTAATCTAAGAATTGGTAATGATTATTAGTGCATTAATGTCATACAAATTCAGATGAAATAATTCGATAAAATACCTAAAAGTTTGATTTCCTGCCATGTAGTGCTAGGTTTGTACCATAAATAAAAACATTTTCCAGGCATACTGAAAAAGTCCAAGAAGCCCAAAAGCATAAAAAGTCAAAACAAGCATTATGTTGCTTTATTATATAAAGCATATATTTATGCTTTATTATATAAAGCATATATTTATATAAAGCATATTTATTATATATTTATGTTGCTACAAAGACTACAAAAAGTCTTTGTAGCATTATGTTGTCCAAGAGGTGTGGATGGCTAGCTCAAAGAATCCAGGAAATGTAGAAGGAAAARAATTGCATCTTTTAATGATGAGATCTAAAGTAAATAAACGCATGGCAATTGTAAGCAAATATTGTAGACTGGAGTTATAAAAGTGTCTCAGTGTTATTAGTCATGACAGTTACAGTTTAATAACTGTCAGATTGACAATTCCAAACTTTCCCACTTTGTCTGAATTTGGAACTGGAACTTCTATTTTTCTGTCTTTAGCAAAATGCTATTCAGCTCTCTTACAAATAAGTACACTGAAATTAAGACCCGAAAATAAGATAATCCATTTTTTTTTAAGTACAGTAGATCAATTCTTTTTGCTTTAAAGCCTATAGTGTGCATTTGCCCAAAGTGTCTAATTTCCATTTTAGAAATTTTATCTTTGTAATTTTTATCTAAGGCAGTTTTCTTCAACACTTGTTGAGCAATACTTTTCAGAATCTATCTAAAAGTATTTGCCTCAGTATTGGGAACTTTCTGATAGCAATGTATAGGCAAGATTATGTCAGATATATTAAGACAAGCCTGATTTCCTCCCCTACAGAAACAGAAGCAATTAGAATTCAGGAGAGTATGGTGGACTTCAGTCATGGAGGGCTAAGGCCAGCCCTGAGAATTTTCACTCTGGCATTCTCTTTTTTTCCCTTTGAAAGGTAGATACTAAATAACTGGCTGTACTGAGAAAGTATTTGAAGTTCCTCTTGACAACAAACAGTATGTGAACTGACAGTTCACATATCTTTTTAGAAAACAAAGATTAGTAGTGTGTGCAGCAGACAAATAAATTTACTTCCAAGTTTTGTCTGTTATCAAGAACTGCCARGTTAGCAGGATAGCACCTTCCAGTGAAAGTCCTTGGGAGGGAGCAGCTCTAGACCTGTCAGATCTGTCAGAAAGGGCATTTGTAGTCAGAGATACAAGATTTTATTCTCATATTGAAGACAAATGAAAAAACACATAATGAARGGAGTTCATGTTGCCTGCTTTCTGGCTGATTCTAAAATCTCTTGGTACTTATGGAAATACAAGCCTGATTGAAACAATTGAGTTAATCATGGAAATAGAAGATGTTTTACCTAAGTGAAGGTATKATGGCTGATCTGTGGTACTCTGAAATGTGAGTTACTCTGCATGTCAGCAGTCCTCATGGGGTTTTGTGTTAGATGCTTTCAGTAGGGTGGGCCCCATGATCCATTTGTAAATCTTGATTCACATTTTAATCTGTTTTACTAAAGAACTTCATAGAAACACAGAATTGCTTGGGTTGGAAGGAGGCTTAAAGATCACCCAGTTCCAGCCCCTCTGCCATGGGAAGGAACACTTTCCACTGTCCAGGGCTTCTCCAAGCCCTGTCCAACCTGGCCTTGGGCAATTCCAGGGATGGGGCAGCTACAGCTTCTCTGGGCAATCTGTGCCAGAGCCTCACCACCCTCATAGAAGAGAACTTCCTCCTAATATCCATCTAAACCTACTCTCTTCTAATTTGAAGCCATTTCACCTTTTGCTGTCACTTCAGGCCCTTGTGAGTAGTCTTTCTCCATCTTTATTGTAGGCTCCCTTCAGGRTACTGGAATGGCACAATTAGGTTACACCAAAGCTTCTCTTCTCCAGGCTGAACAATCCCAATAATCTCAACCTTTCCATGTAACAGAGCTGCTCCAGCCCTCTGATCATCTTGGTGGCCTCCTCTGGACCTGATCAAGAGCTCCATGCCCTTTCTGTGCGGAGGACCCCAGAGCTGGAAGCACTACTTCAAGTGGGATCTCACCACAGCAGAGCAGAGGGGCAGGATCACCTTTCTTGACCTTCTGTCCAAGTTTCTTTTGATGCTTTACTTCAAAGCTTTATTTATGGCTTAGAACTGCATTATGGTTTGAATGTTGTACACATATAAGAAGATACTCTCTTTCCTGAAATCACTTAAAATTCTCTGCCTTATAGGGTAAGTAGATAGCAGGTGAAGGAGAAGTGAAATGGCCTCAGGTTTCCCTATGGGAGACCTAATTGGGATATTTGAAAAAATTCTTCATGGTAAGACTTGTCAAGCATTGTAACAGGCTACCCAGGGCAGYAGTGGTGTCATCATGCCCAGAGGGATCTAAAGGGAGGGATTTTAGATGTGGCACTAAGGGACATGGTTTAGACCTGGCAGCACTAGGTAATTTGTTGAACTTCATCACCTGAGAGGTCTTTTCAAAAAATGATTCTGTGATCAAAGAGCCAGTAATTCAGTATGGGTCATCATCTCAGCACTTCAGCAATCTGTTCACTGCTGCTGTATCAAAACAAAACAGATGTTTAAGTGGAATTGTCTATTATGAAAGAGATTTCCAGTTATTTATAGGTGAATCCTTCAAAACATGAAGGACAGCAAAGGGAACCCCATTGTTGGGAGTTAAGGTTTCTCCTTTTGTTTCCTTTCTGGGGAGTATTTTTCCCCATTTTGTTGCTGGATACACTGATGGCCAGGTGGTTGTTTTCATGGCTGGGTGATTGGGGAAGGCAAAGGAAGTTGCCAGGCCCTGTGGGGGAGAAAGTTTCTCTGGACGTTCCTACTTGGCAGTTTTCCTCTCTTGGAGGGCAGAGTTCTCGTGGGAGTTTTGGGCCCAGGCTGCACTGTGGCTTCTGCTCCCCTGCCTTGCCARGACCACTGTGATTCCAGCTACAGTGGTTGAGTTCTGATACATACCGTCTATAGCTGCAGGATTCTGCTTGTCTGTTTGCTCATCTGACTGTTCAGAGGTTTCTTGCTATCTAGAGGGAGCACCGGGATCAGCTTTCCCCTGTGAGTTTGTAGAGGAACTTTTTCTCCATCCATCTCTGCCGTTCTGTGTCCACCATCGGCCACGTGAGAGAGCTGAAACCATTTGGGACCCGCGCCACAGCGCCCCCTGCAGCTGCAGGGGAATCATCGCACCCGCCCTGCCCGGCCGGGAGCCAACAGCGCCCCTGCCGGCTGGGACTGGAACTGCACCCTGCACCGAGGGGAGGATGCACATGTGTGACAGTTAGTTGTTTCTATCATTGTTGTTACTTYTTTTACTTTGTTACACATATTAGTAAAAATTGTTATTCCCTTTTACCCATATCCTTTCCCAGCCTGAAAGCCCTGTGATTTCAAAGTTACAATAATTTAGAGGGAAGGGGGTTCATATCCACCACTCCAAAGGAAGTCCCTGCCTTCACTGGAAAACACCTGTCTTTCAAACCAAGACACCCATAAATTTCAAAACTGTGACAACTAAGTGACAAAGGCTGGCATCAGAAGTAAGGCAGAAGGGAGGTGAATCTCTTGAGAATAAATCACAGAGCTTTGTATTTAAAGACAAATGCTTGTATTTATGATTGAGAATGAGAAATCACTGAAAATACCAGAAGGAAGGATGTAATACAGTCATCGAAGTGGGGGGATCTGTGGAGGAGTGTTGGATGTGGATGCAAGTAAGGGAGGTTGCACTTAGAAAGAAAATGATGTTGCAATAACTGATACAGGAATTGCAGGCCTTGGGAGCCTGAGTCTTAATTATGTAGATGAAAATGGAAAGCCACACMATTTATGAAGAATGACTTGCTAGGATTTAGGTATGGACATGGATGTAAGAGTCTAAGGAGAACTCTTTTCAAGAAATTTCTGGTGAAAACTGTTGTCATGGAAAGGAGATAAGTAGAAGTCTATGTGTGATAGAGTAAGAACTCTATTTCAGTCATTCTTAAAAAGAAATCATAGGATGCTACAGGCCTGTCAGTCTCACTTTAGTGCCTRATAAAATCATGGAAAAGATTACTGAAAGGTATTAAAAAATGCATGGAGGACAACACAACCACCAGCCAGCATGGCTCCATGAGACGAAAGTCCTGCCTTCCTTCTATGACAGAGTAACCCACCTGGTTGATCTAGGAAAGCCACTAGGTGTAATGATTTTGGATTTCAGTAAAGCTTTCGATATTGTCTTTCACAGGATCCTTCTGGACAAAATGTCCAGCATT